ATGTATAATTCGATTGCCATGTTTTCGATGATCTATATATTCACATACACGAAGAAGATAAAGAAAAACCAAAAAATATTCCTAATCATATTCGCAAGGATTTCTACATACATGCCATCGCATCAGCCAATGTTTCTGCAGTTGAATCTACATAATCATATTGACCACATGGACATGTCATTGTATAGATGATATTTTTTGTATTACAAGTCTAAATTTTAATAAAATCGTATCTTTTGTTACAATCCAATAATTTTCATCAAAAACAAAACAGAAAATAATACTTACAGCTGGGCAATTGAGATAGGTTGTATATCCATTAATAAATTGATGCATTGAACTTGAAGCAAAATTAACAACTGGCCATGGTTGTATTTTTTTCTCATGATTTACTGGATGACAACATGTACATGAAGGATTCTGACATGGAATCATAGAATAATTTGTTTGTGGTTCATCTTTGCTACAGAATAAACCTTCTAGATCAGATCGAGGTTGAGCTCCACGAAATGAACATGTTTTCATATAGAATAGATCCACTAAAGAATATCACAAAAAAACAAATATATGAGACTATGAAATGATTTGCCTATAAGAAGACTGACCATCTATTTGTAAATAGAATTCTAATACTATAGCCATTTGTTTTGAATTGAGTGTTGGTTCTTGTAAAGCTCTATCAGGCATACAGAGAATATTTCGACGAAATAATTCATGCCATGCAAGAAGAATACAACAAATGCTACGAAACCGATCAGCATTAAAAGTAATGATTGATTTGCTGACTTTTAAATGTCTAGCTAGTTCTTCTACGTCTTCTTTAGATAAACTGAATTTATCACCATACTCGTACGTTTCCATCAACATCAGAGCATCTGATGTATATGCTCCATTTTGACGTCGAACAATTTCATTTGATGTAAGACAAGTTACTAGTAAATTATAGAAATAATAAAATTTAATTCAAAATAAAAAATAAAAATTTGAAATGTAAACCTGGTACATTAGCCAAAAGTAGACATTCATCTTTGCCGAAAGATTTAATTGGAAATATGGGCAAATAAGCATATCGTCCATTCTTATTCTTATCTAGTAATGTTTTAGACTGATACTCATATTGTTGAACCATATCTAATGCACCAGTATCATGTTCTATTTGCTTGA